GGAGGATATGAGAATCATTGCTAACAAATTTAAAGTGTCCGTGGATGAGTTGGAAGCTGAAGTCGGATTGCTTCGGGATTATGATGGATCTGTTCCTAAAGGTAGCACTACGAACACCACCAGAGAGTGGCTTGATTGGCTAAAGGAATTGGATTGGTCTTCCATGTTCCAGGCCTTTTACAAATCTATTCAATGCTTTGCAATCTTACTTGTTACAAGCTGTTCATGTGAAAGAGCCTTTTCGAAACTAGCACATGTAAAAAACAAACTAAAAAGTACAATGTCCCAACAGCGCCTCGACTCACTCATGCTTTTGTACATTGAACAAGAATTGGCTTCATCAGTTAATTACATGTGATTGATGTGATTGAGGAATTTAAGTCCCTAACACCTGGTGAGTGACGTCTCATTCTCTAGGACAGGAAGATGAAGAAACCTTAATCTGTTTTGGTCAATTTGGGTTAGCTCATTATCTGGTTAAAGATAAAGATCATGAAAATTGACTGTATCTTTGTATATGCCTGTTATCACTACAGCAAAAATTTTGTGGTATTTTGTGTCTCATTTTTTAAGTTTGTATTTTTAAGTAAAGTTTAGTTGTTAACTAAACTTATTTTTTTTTAAATTAAGTTTTAGTTTCTTTAGTTTGTTTGATAAATAAAAATAATGCCCTTTATGATTAAGTATTCAATAAATGTTCACCTTAAAAAAAAATTCCAAGTGCACACCTTAATAAAATGTGCTGTGCACGCCTATGTCCACCTCCCATGAGAGACAGTAGCTATGTTGGTAGTAGAAGCTCTCCTGCTGACATCACACTATCTACACCAGCGCTTAGGTCGGTGTAATTTACGTCACTCAGACGTGTGGATTATTCACACTCCTGAGCAACGTAAATTATACCGAAGTAAATTCTAGGGTAGATAAGGTCTGAGATGCCTAAATGAGAGGTTTTGAAAATCTACTCATGCTGGAATTCATGATAGTCAGTCAGTGGGTTATGAATATGCAGCTTCTTATCTCTACGTGATTGGTTCAAATGATCAGATATAGTTTGGTGGTTCAAATAATCAGATATAGTTTGGTAGTAGCCAAATGTAGTTATTAGAACTGGGCACACAATGCAGGATTATTTGTAAGCATTCCCATTTTTCAAGGAATTTGCTTCACCTGTGTTCACACCCCTTTTGTGGTCACTTTTTACAAATCTTATAAGAACAAATTTACCAACATAAATATTTACTAACCAGCAAAATGTATGCAAACATTACAAAATATAGAAAGTGAATTTTTTACTTATAATCCTGAGTTTTCAGGCCAGAAAGCTTATTCTAAGAGTTAAAATGTACCATGTAATCTACGTGTTTGTTAAAACAGCTCAAATTCCCAATTTCAAATATCAAATATTCAAAGCAATGTGCAAAGTGAACAATTTGCAAGCACTGCACAGGCTGAAATATTTGCATAGTAAAATCTGTGAATCATTTTGAGCAATGAATATATTTATGGAAAATGTGATCTCTCTGCAGACAATTCACAAGCAGCAGAAAGAGCTGTATTTGATAACTAAAATACAATATGTACTGTAAATAATTCATCCAACTCTACTTGTTACCAGCTGATGATGGCCATTTGGTATCCTATCATATGTGAAAAGGGTTATGGTCTCAGTCCAGTTCCTGGTGGACAGGTATCCATATGATAAAATAGCACCATTCCAATTGGAACTAATATCCACCCTTTGACTCTCAACAGAGAGGCAAGAGGTGAAATTCTGGGCTGATTGAAGTCAATAGGAGTTTTGCCATTGACTTCACTAAGGTCAGGATTTCACTGCCAGATTCTATAGACATGGAAGCCGAACTGTCCTTTTTTTCCCTAGTGAGTTGAGGAGGGAGGTATGTTAAACAGTACAGTGAAACTTCCGCAGCCAGTGGTGTACCATTTCTGAAGTTTAGGAGAGGACTTCACCCTATATGGCAAAGAGTAACCACCATCAGAAGAAAATCCATTTAAATTTTCTTTTTAAAGAAAAGTTGCAACTACTCTTTCAGATGTTACTACATATGAGAGAACTCTTTTTAGAACACACATTAATTTAGTGGGGTATGAAGACATGAGAAACATTCTAGATTGTTGTAGATTATAAACCAAAGGGAAATAAAAGGAAATAGAATGTAAACAAATTTGGACAAAAGTAGTTGTAAGAAAATATAAAATTGCACATGGTTTTTCTACGTAGTCATGTAGGGATTTAGTTACATTTACTTCTGTGGTACTTTGCTTTTAAATGTTATAAAGTATTACATAATTAGTAATATGATATGGGGATTTTATGAAAGGAGAGTGCAGTAGGTCACAAAATCAGGAAGAGCAGCTGTAGAAGCTACGTCTAAATAAGACATCACCAGTGCTCATGGCAAAAAAGAAAAAAAAAAGAAATATAGCAATGGAGAATGTTTAGGATCCAGACGTTCAGTTGGTGAGGTTCTTGCTCTAAACTCTTGAATTGTGTTGACAACTTTTGGGGTCTTTCTACATTGTAAAAACAACTAGGACTTGTGAGCTGGTTTCCACACCATAGTCCCCAACATAATTAAAGTGAGATTCCATCTTGCTATGTTCTAGCCTACAGGACTTCATCTTGCAAACACATAGGCTGGGATTTTTGAAGAGGCCACAGAGAGTTAGGCTCCCAGCTCTCAATGAAAGTCAAGGCTGATGAAACTACTCTTAAGCCTTTGGAAAATATTAGCCTTAGGCACCAGGAGCCAGATTTAGAAACATATTTAGGTGTCTAAAGATGTCAATGGGTGCCTAGTGGAATTTTTAGAAGTGCCATAGGGGAGTTTCATTGGCATTGACTTTCACTGGGAGTTGGGTATCTAACTCGTATAGAAACTTTTGAAAATCCCACTAGATGCCTAAATACCTTTGAAAATCTGCCCCCAAGTGTGACAGATATGGCAATTTCTTGTGATATCTTTAAAAGACCCTATGGTATTAAGTATATGTATTATTGTGGGCACTGATTGTATGTAACTTCTTCATGGGGAAGATGGAACAAAGATTGCAACCCCTTGGAGTCCATTGTTTTACATGAACGGTGTATGTATGGCTGTGTTTCCCTCCAGAAGGGAGGGCTGCCACAGATCCTCCAGGAACTAAAAACAGTGGGTGGTGGTTAAGGCAAATCATGCAGGTTGTAACCTCCTCAGAGAGGGACTATATCCTAGGGAGGCCCTCATATACTAGTTCAAACTGGATTCTCCAGAGACCAACAAAGAAAGGACTTTTGGATAAATAGCCTGAGTTTGTTGACTCAGGGCCTTCTCTTTAATCCAGCAAACAGACAGAACCTTCTATTCAAGCAAGGCAGGGCCCAATCCTTATGGAAGGACTTGACCTTTTAAGACCCTGTAAATCTGGTAAGCTTTTAGCATGAGTGCAGGTTCTTTTATTGATTGTATATGTTTTCTTTGTAATGCTTTTGCCTTAAGAATAAATGTGCTTGCTTATAAAGAACTGCATGATAACTTGTAACTGCTGGAAATTACAGCTGTTCATAGCCTTTGAAGAGAAAGCAAAAATCAAATTCTGTCCTGTTTACGCAGTCGGACTTGCTGGGGATATCACTGTATAAGCAGGGAACTGTGCAATCTGGAAAAAACCCTGTCAGCAGGGAGAGACGTGGGTCTCTGCCCAAGATAAGTGATGGCTAAAGAGCCTGAGCCTAGAGTGGATGCCTGCAAGGGACCGCAGACCGGGAATACAGGTGCAGTAGCTCTGGAAATATGACACTAAGTTACTCAGTTGCTTACGTGTTTTCACGATTGCACCCAGGGATTTTACTATTGGTTAGAAATATAGCTAGCATGGTGTGGTGACATATTTTGTTCTTTTTAATTTGTAATCAATCAAACTAGACACTCCTAGAAATGGAGAAAGATCTTACATAAACTTTGGACGTTCTTTATACTTGCAGATAAAAGTAGCACTTCATAATAACTTTATATGGTTTCTTCCAACAAGACCTTTCAAAAATTGTTAAAATTGATTATTGCCCTAGGACAAATTATTCAAAGTTTATTTTAAAATAGTTATAGTCTGTGATTAGTCCTAAGAATTGGTGTGCATTAAGGACTAAGGGCTTGTCTATATGAACATTTAGTTTGTGGCAAGCTACGGTGTGAATCTACCCCCCCACTAGCCTACTGCACACTAACTGTTTCAGTGGATCCTGCTGACTCTCACTAACAATTTGTTAGTGTGCTTTATTCTACTCTTGTTTCAAAGCAGGGTAGATCAAAGTCTACTAACAAACTTAATGCATGTTAGCAGGGTCCCCAAGAACCTATAGAATGAGGCAGACTAGTGAGAGCAGATTCATGCTCCAGCTTGCCTCGAACTAAATGTTCATGCAGATAAGCCCTAAGGATAACATTTTCAAAAGCATTGAAAGTCAGTGGGATTTATCTTTTTATGTGCTTAAGTCACTTTTGAAAATGGCAAGTAGGCTCTTAAGTCACTTGGGCACTTTTGAAAATTTACTCTAAATCGTTTACCAAATAGTTGGTGTTTTGCAACATAGCTAATTGAATTCTTAAAAAGCACTGACACTGAAGCTCCAAATGTGGTGACATAAGTGCGGCTTTACCAAATTCACGGTCCATTTTGGTCAATTTCATGGTCATAGGATTTTAAAAATCATAAATTTAATGATTTCAGCAATTTAAATCTGAAATTTCACGGGGTTGTAATTGTAGGGGTCCTGAGCCAAAAAGGCATGGGGGAGGGGGTCGAAAGGTTAGTGGATGGGGTTGCGGTACTGCTACCCTTACTTCTGTACTGCTGTTGGTGGCAGTGCTGCCTTCAGAGCTGGGCAGCTGGAGAGCGGTGGCTGCTGGCCAGGAGCCCAGTGCTGAAGGCAGAGCCGCCATCAGCAGCAGTGCAGAAGTAAGGATGGCATGGTATGGTATTGCCAACCCTTACTTCTTAGCTGCTGCCTCCAGAGCTGGGTCCTTAGTCAGCAGCCAGTGCTCTCTGGCCACACAGCTCAGAAGGCAGCAGTGCAGAAGCAAGGGTGGCAATACCACCTCCCCGCTAAAATAACCTTGCAATCCCCCTGGAACTCCCTTTTGGTTCAGGACCACCAATTTGAGAAATGCTGGTCTCCCCCGTGAAATCTGCATAGTATGGGGTAAAAGCATTCAAAAAAACCAGATTTCACAGTCTGAGACAGATTTCATGGTCATGAATTTGGTAGGGCCCTAGACATAAGTGGTAGCGTTTTTGTTGCTATAAATCAAAAATGGCTGCACCAGTTTAATTTTCTTTCAAATTTGGGAGAGATATTCAGTACTAGGCAAAGCTCATATAAACCAGATCTCAGCCTCCTGCTCTCTTCCCTCTGCACCATGGGATTTGGTGGAGGGAAGGAAAAATCAGCGTCACCTCTGCAGGGATCCACACCTACTCACGGGAAGTGGAGTAGTTAGGGTCCTGATCCTACTCAAGCTGAAGTCAATGGCCAAACCTGTATTGACTCAAATGGTATAGGATTGGGCCTTTAATGCCTACACAGAGCCTGAATTGTCACTGCATTAATCCTTATCTATTTACTTATTTAGATTGTAAGCTCTTTGGACAGGGACTAGCTACTGCCCTCTGTTATAGTGCCTAACACAATGGGGCCCTGATCTTGACTGATCGCTACTGCAATAAACACGATTAATAGTAATAACTCCAGTTTTATGTTGGTGCATCTCCATTGAAACCAATGGTGTTACATTGGTGTAAACTGGAGTAATGTATTAGTGAGCGTGGCCCATCGTCTGCAGTAATTTACACAGGTTCCCCTTGTGCAGCTTGGAACTCCCCTTCTCCTCCAACCACCCCTAAGGGGATTTCAGGGTAGTCACAGTTGGGGGAACACCTGAATGAATGGCACTGTGCAGGGGCCTCTAGCAGCAGTGGAGTCAAGGGACCTCAGTAAAATAAACCTTTGCCTCTAGCACATTTCCCCTGTAACTTTCTGATTTAGGCGGTAGAGCTCACAGCTTCTTCTCCAGGAGACAAGCCTCACCCTTATAACAGAAGGATTTCAGGGAAACTCTGCCAATTGAAATGTGACTTTACACTCACTCACATGGAAATAACTTGCCTAGGGAAACATGGGGCCCAAGGAGTTTGGAAGGAATTTTTTTTGGATGAGTTAGAAACCTCTGAAAACAGGACTTTCTAATGCAAGTATCCTCTCAACCTTATTATACACTTACTAATGCACCATTTCACACATCCATGTTTATACATTATGGGCCTAATTTTTTCCCATGGATACATGGGTGCAATTCCCTCTGAAGTCAGCAGGGACTTCATGTGTGTATGTGAAAGCTGAATCAGCCCCCTGTGCATGAAATACTTGCGAATGACTGTTTAGAAGAAACAGCCACTTTTCCTGGCAAACATTTAGATAGTTTAGTCAGTGACCTTAAAAGTGTGGTTAACATAGGGGTTATAGAGCAATACAAGCTTTCTGACAGCGGGCCTGCAAATTTTGTATTCATACAGGAAACTTCCATTGAAGCCAGATGTGAGTTTTGTGTTAGGTCTGCTGGACCTTTTATTAATATTTAGATCACTAGAAAGGGAGATTAGGCTGCAAGGTTCCTGTATTGTTCAAAACATAATCAAGATCAGTGGATGATTAGGATTCCCAGCATATACAATATGCACATTATATAGGTCACCAGTCTGATACTGCAATAGTTAATTAAAATAACATAGTTTAATTATTGGACAGAGTTTTCCAACCCGGTTGTCTAAAATTAGTCCCCTAAACTTTTGATTACCCACCTAAATGAAACCTTTGGCACTCACATTCCTATTGATATGAACTGCAGATGCTCAGTACATCTGAACCTCAGGGCACTACTACTGAAGTGCCTAAATATGTATTTAGGAATCTAGTTTTAGCCATAGAGGTCTGAAAATTCTGGCAATTGGGGCTAATCTCCCATAGAATGCTTTTGGCAAAGTTGATAAAAGACAACCAAACATTGTTGGTCATCTGTACTGTCTTCATAAAATATTTTTTTGCAAGTTCTGCTGATTTTATTTTCTCTTAAGGGGTGAGGGCTTTTCCTAATAATTATTTTAACTTCATCTGAAAAGTAAGATTAAAAAAACAATATTACTCCAAATTGGGGAAAGGATCTAGTTCTATCCTGAAGGGCTTGTTCTAACTGACTTTTTTCACATTGAGACAGCGCTCTTTCTTTCAAACTGGGAAAAGTGGAAAGGGTTCCAAATTGCCATTTATAATTAAACTAAATCAATATGCAACACTTTTATATAGCCAATGAAACTTCTGACTTAGTTCTCTATACCATCATTATCATCCTTGCTTCTAATGAACAATATCCAAATCAGGCCTTTTCTGGGAAATATTAGGGATACTTTAGATGGCTATGCTTAACCATGGCTAAAGCTGTGAACATCTTATCTTGCTTTGATGTTTTAGGCATCTATGACTGTGATAGCTGCAGATGTGAACAGTGTATTTAATTGTTAATTATTCCTGAGTTCTTGGAATGTGAGTGCCTTCGATTCACACTAAAATTTTATTTTAGACAGGGTTGTATTATAAACCAAAACCTAAAATTGCTTTAAAAAACCCTTGACTTTAATTAATTACATTGAAATTTCAGAAGATGGCGTTGAAGATTAGCAATTAATATTCTAAACACTGTACGTATCCTATACATAGAAAGCCAAAAAAGTCAGTGTGCGATGATTGTTTTGAATGTGGTCTTTAAGAACAGAGGATGTGAATGTCTGTTAAAAATGTTAAAAACGGGCTGGGGGAGGGCTGCTACATGAATTGTGTGTGAAACCTGTAAGATACAGTACTAAACGACTTGTTGCTAGTCCAAACCTCGAACTTCCTCCCCGCGCCTAGTTTAAGAGAGTCTGGTGAACAGCTATCCTGTCTCTTAGTTGATATTTTTTTAAACAAAGATATTAACAAGTCATTTACAGCCAGTGCTCCTTTTGCGTATCATGAGTTCAGTCGCTGCACGATTTAAAAGGAACCTTGCTGAGAGACATTTGGTTTGCTCAATTGAAAATTTTCGCTATACATTGATCGCTCCTGTTTGCATACATGCAGTTCTGACGCTATGAATGGTATGTGCATGATCTATGTATGAAAGCAGCGTCTGTCCCATACAGTCTGTTCTTTTAGCATTAAAAATGTATCCGTTTCAGAATCCAATTAACTGACGTGTAATCCATCGATGTGAGAAAGGAAACTCGGACGAGTCACCCAACAATGTACAGATTAGCGCTGTTCTAAAATCCATATGGCTTTATCAGAGTGGTTGATTGGAAATACTTTGCCGCAGACTTGAATTGTAACAATCTGAATCTGACACCCTCCCCTCGCAAGATCTATTTCACAACTCGCAGGTGTCTTCTGGAACAAATGACTTTTGGGGCTACTGCAGCTTATTCTCCTTATATACCGTTTGGCTTTGAATCCACTTTGTAAAACATCCCAAGTGACAGAGAGGGCGTGGGGAGTGGCGTGTGGGTATGATTATGCGTTTAGGAAGGGGAGCTAGTCCTGGGTAGCCCACGTGTGGCAGCTTCTTAGTCTGGAATGTCAGGCAATGTGTACAGCGGCACCTACCTTTCTCAGAACCAGCTCTCTTCCTGTCTCTCAGTTCAACCTGCTGCTTTGAGGGCAAAGATAAACAACCTTCTCTCGCAAGGCCTTTTTGCCACAAACTATAAACCTTCCATCCAGCACCATCATACATTTTCTTGTAGGTGTGATCTACGGATCGTTTACTGTAAAATAAAGCTGGCTGTAAAGCAGGTGATCAGTCAGGGATTTCCCGTTCTATTTATATGTCTATGTACACAATATATAAAAACTATTAGGCTCTGTACTTTTCCCCACGTGTCACGGTGTCTAGGTAAACCCCCAGCGGCCCGCGCCGCTTCAGTGCAGCCCCCACGCTCTTCTGCATCTTCTCAGTCCAACCTCTGTAGACTCCGCCCCCAACCTCCCCCCCCCGCCATCTGACAGTTCGTCAGTCATATAAGTTCCTGCTTTCGCTCAGTTTGGTTGTTTCATATCTTTTTTAACCATTTGAGAAAACAGGCTGCCTCCTGCACTGAGCGGCTGGGTGAAAGAGGTAAGAGACCGATCATCCACAATGCTGATCGTAAAAAATAATAATTGGGCGGTGGGGGGAATGGGCATGCCTTTGTTTATTTAAGCAGGTAGTGATTTGATCCTGTTCTAGAAGGGTAGCATATTGAATGAGCATTATCTGGCAAATTCCCTCCCTCATTTTGCTTTACACACTAGCTTTCTCAAGAAAGAACTCTTCGACCCATATGCTCACCCCTTTAGCCCCAGAGCGATTCCTGTTTGGGATAACAGAAGTTAGAAATGGACATAACTTAGAAGAGCTGTCCCTCAGACAGAGGGTGTATTAAGTTAGCATTACAGTTGCCCATGAGCATTTAGTGAGAATATTGCATAAAATGAATTCAGATGCAACGGGGGAGTGTTGCTATTGAAAACAAAGTTGCAGAATTTCTTGTTTTTTAAATGATACATTCTAAAAGTAGCCTGGCTGGAGTGAATGATCCTACATTTTCTCTTTGGCGGTGGGGTGGGGATAGACTAGACCTGTCTCTTCCCCCCCCCCCCCCCCCCCCCCC